GTTAAATTTTAAATTTTTTTCAACCTTCTTAAGGCTCTGCTTGATACCTGAGAACTTAAAAACTTCTAAAAAAGTGCCTAAAAAATTGTTAATTGTTACTATATGTATACTTTTACACTTCTATCACAGATGCAACAAACACAAATGCAAAAGCGGAGAGATTTGTAGATTTGTGGCCAATAAACATGTTTATAGGAAAAAAAATAACAACTAAGATACTGCTTAATTAACTGCTCTAATTATGAACGTAGTATCTTTTTGAAAAAATATATTTTTAGAAGCTTTTGAACCTACAACTACGACTACTAATAATAATATTAGTAATTACAGTAACAGATTTACTTGTAAAGCCCTTAACAATAACCACTAGTTTAACTGAAGTGCTTGACAGTAAGTCAAATAAAGGAACTAGGGCTGCAACTAACCATTTTTGTTGCAAATAAATTTATATGTCTATTTTTTTATTTCGATTAATTGATTAATAAATTTTTACAAAAGTAAACCAGGTGAAACTAAAATGTTTCCACCTGAGGAGTTCTGGATAGAGCGTACTGACAGATTAAAGAGTTTATCTTAAATGCAAAATGTTTATACATTTTTCTTAAAATTGTGGTATAATTACTGCTTTATGTGGGTCAATTAAAGGCATGATTTATAGTCTCTATACTCCATTTAACGATTAATCGATTTCTAAATTAGTTGATTATTTCAATAATCAATTACCTCAAAACCTTTCTCTTTCAGCAATATTTGATAGGTTTTATTTTGTGTTTTTGTTTTTTAATTCACCATCTAATGGCAATGAAAACCTGCAGTAGTTACTGGACAGAAAAATGAGACTTGCCTTAAAATACTTGGCTATACAAAGAAGTTTCTGTTCCAGGTCCAGTGACTATAAGAGAAGCCCAAATCATCACTCTTCTACCGCTGTACTTGACAGCTGGTATGAGTTGGTGCTTGATTTTCTGCTTTAGGTTACCATCAAGCATATCCCTGCGCATCAGGGCAAAACAATCCTCCACTCAGTCTGATATATTTTATGGATATAGCGTTTTTTTATTCATTCAGAGGAAATTTTGAAATCTAGGCTTTTATGATATTTCCATTCAAAGAGAATATTTCCTTTAACTTAACCCTTTATAGAACACTTAGTTTGACTTTGAAAATCTAAATTTCCAGCCAAAGGTGTTATTGGAATCCAGGACAAAACCTTATTACCTTTGTAACATTAAAAAATATGAATTTTATGATGGCAAAAATTAATATCAATGTAATAACAAGAAACACCAACTTGCCCGAATGTATTAAGAAAAATAACAAAAGTGATTCTAAAAGAAATTCATGAAAAACAGAAACACATTTTATTGTTCCAACATAACCTTAGATAACCTTTTTTTTTTTTTTCCTGGAGAGGTGGCGAAACGTCTTCAAATCTTGGAAACCAAGTCCAGTGGATATATATTTTTTATTTTTTGAACTTTTACGGAATAACCTAAGAGGCATTAATTCTGATACTGGCACTGACATTTTTTTAGTTCATAAAGCTAAATATAATTGTTAACTAGACTTATTAACTTTTGAGCTTTACTTTTTAACTTTTCAATTACCTTTTTCTCTCTTTTTTTCAGCTTAATTTAAAATAGGTAATATATCATTAAAGGGTTCATCTGATTCGTCAAATGCCAAAATTTTCCATTTGTGAGGGAAAAGCAAGTGATCAAAAACGCTAACTTGTCCTATAAAGGCTATAAATCAGATTTGAATTATGCTCTCATCTACACTGCAAAAAATTTAATCTAAATAAGTCATTTCCTCCTTAAAATAAGTGTATTTTTTCTTTAATAAAGTATTTAAGTGAGACACTTTGCCAATGGAACAAGACAATTTACACTTAAAATAAGAAAAAACAATTGCATTTTCTTATTTCAAGTGCATAATATCTAGATAACTTATTTTAAGAGTAAAAATACTCATTCTATTGGAAACTCATCTTATTTACCGGCTCAAATTAAGGGTAAATACCCTTAATTTAAGAAATTGTTACTCATTTTGAGATCGTTTTTGCAGTGTAATTCCATATCTACAAACTCTTTGTTTTTCTTTTTGGTAGTTTGTGTTTCTGAACTTAGCTGCTGTCTTCAGTGTTTTCTTGTTGTGAATATTTAATTCCTATTGTGAAACAATATGCTTCAGCCTGTTTGGAAATAAGCAGCATCTGGTTACTTTCTATCATTAATCCTTTGGAAAGCATCTCTGTTTTTCTTCTGACTGTTTTTTGTTAATATGTAAGTTTTTTGTACCAATTAAGCACGAGAAGATGAATAACCAAATCCTTTTCCAAGCAGACTTCAGTGGCGATAGAGCTCTAGTCTATTATCACATGGCAGGTTTTCAGGTGACGCATAACGGAGAAATCTTTGTTCCCAAAAGGAATGCCTTCCTTATTTGCTTTTTCTTTCTAATTTGTTGCTAGTTTCCATATTTTAAAACATCCTCTGAAACTGTTTATCCTCCCCTTTGCTCCCATCATCTGCTCTCTGTCCTCTTGTTTAGACCAGCCTCCGCTGACCGCAGTCCTGGGTTTGCCACAACTGGAGCGTTGGTCTGACTGGTGTGTTAAGCTGTGGCCTGGATGCAGCACATCTGAAATCCCTGCCTGCTTTTTCCTTCTGACATTTTATTTAGCTCTTGTCCTTGCTGTGACCATTGTGGTTGTAGGTTCACCCAGAGGCTGGGAAATACCCACATCAAACCGTCTCTCCATGGCGATACATGACAATAAACCAAAACTTCAGCTGTCAATCTAGTGTGAGAAACAGGGCGGGACTGAAACCACCCTGCTGAAAGTCATAACACTGGGCCTGGTTTTCCTTCCATTTACAGCAAGAGGACATCATTGTTAGTTGGCAACAGTTTCATGTTGATGCTGTCCGAAGACCAAACTAATGCTACGTTTAGACGGCATGCTGTAGAAGCAGCAGAAGCAGCTAGTTTCCATTCAAAGTCAATGGTTGACGCGTATCAAGTTGCAGCAAAAGGTCCTGCAGCGTGTTTTGAGCAGCAGGAGCTGCACCTCATGAGCTTCTGACGCGCTTTAGAAGCAGCAGCTGCTGGAGTTGGAAAAATTTGACTTTTGCTGCTCGGCGCGCCGCATCAACCAATCAGAGAAGCTGACCTGGGAGCTGGCAGGGAGACAGATACAGCACTGCTGATGCAGAGCGCTATGATCACTCCCCTTTATTAAGGCCTGAATGAACTTATCCTGGTGCCTGCAGTTTGGATTACATATGTGAAAAACACTAACATCTACTTCCAGCTGCCGCTAACAGTCGAGGAAAACTGCGAAGAGGCGACGGGGAGCTGAGGCAGCTGCTGCCGGGGATTCCCAGTGACAGCGCAGCGCCGGTATGTGGGGGTCTGAGCGGCTCCCACACAGTGTTGCCAACTCAGCGACTTTGTTGCTATATTTAGCGACTTTTCAGACCCCTCCAGCGACTCTTTTTCAACAAAGCGACTAGCGACAAATCTAGCGACTTTTCTGGTGTCTTCAGTGGGGCGCCTCACCCATCCCAACCCCGTTCTCCCGCTTCCGCAGGAGTCCCTCCCTCTCAGCGCTGCAGTCAGAGCCACAGCATGTTTACCCTCAGCGTCAAGACTGCAAATGAGCCGCACACATGTGCTGGGATTGACGGCGCAGGTTGATCACGCTGGACTCAGCTCCCTCAGCTGCTGAACCTGCCATAGAGAACCTTGACCAACAGGACAATGACCCACTCTTTCTGTGAGCAGGCAAGCACAGCCTGTGTGTGTGGAGGGGAATCTTATTAGTTTGAAAAAATAACAATAATTACAATTATTTGCTCACATTATCATTGATTCTTTGTAGTCTTTTTTTGGTCCATTTAGATTGTTAATGTTAATGTAATGTAAAAAAAATTGTATGGTTCCAAATGTTCATGTGTTACCAAGCTTTCTAAGCTCCTTAGTGGACCACAAGGGAAAAAATAAAAAGTAAAAAAAAGTTGAAAAAAAAAATTATGCAAATTAGGCAATGACGTCATTCAGCGACTTCTAGCGACTTCCAGCACAGCCAATAGCTACTTTCCTTACTGAGGAGTTGGCAACACTGTTCCCACAGAGAAATAATCTTTGAAGGCAGGATGGTAATCTGGATGAACTGACTGCACAGACCATGTTTTCAGGAGGACTTTCTCACTTCAACATAGATCCTAACTACTTTTTACCCGCTGATCACAGCTGATATAGCAAAGCTCCTCTCTGGCATTGAACACAGGAGCATCAGAGGTGAAGCAGCACAAGCTCTTTTGCTGCTTCCAGTGCTAGCTTGTCTGAACGTAGCATCATTCATTAAAATAAGCCAAGCCACTTTCTCAATTTCATCTGCCATTGTTCCTGGCAAAGAAAGGATAAGGAAGCTCCTCCCAACGCGCATCAGACCAACTTTTCCACCGCGCAGCTAGAGCAGCAAAGACGCTTCAGCCGCGCGTCAGAACTAAACCTGTACAAGCATAAAAAATGAAGCAGCACGCGCTTTTTTGCTGCTCCTGCTGCGTGCGGTTCTACTTTTTTTTTTGCAGTGCAAAATTAGGAAAAAAATTCCAACCAAATAAAAGCTTTCACACACAATCTAACTGAAACCATCTGAAACGTATTTCACCCCTGAAGCACTAAAACCCACCTGACACCCACGACCGGTGGGATTAAAGGGACCAAACAGGAAGTAATCATGCAGCTGCCCAAAAGAAAACGGGTGGAGCCCACTCAATTGTCTCCTCAAGGTTCAAAAGGGATATAAAACTAAAGTGGAGATGAGATCCTGAAAGAATGAAAACAGTATTTTCCTCTTTCATAAAGCAGTGAATCCCCTAATCAGAGCCCAGCCTTCTTCCCATAACTGCTTCTGACAATGTTGGGCATTGTTATAGCTGTTTTCTGCCTATGTATTCGAAAGCGTGTGAGAGAAAATAATGATTACTTACAGCCAAGTAGAGCATAGTAAACAGGGAAAAGGAGGCATGTCCTGAGAAGAAGGATTTCCTGCAGAGGGAGAAAGAGATTATTTTAAGCCTATTGTTTTCTCTATACATGTTTAAGAACTACTTTCATGTGCGTGCATTGTTGATTTTACATACCTGGCTTCCTGCACCTCACTCTCATCACCAGTGCACGTATAGTTGGTGACGTAACCAACACTGCAGTTTATGGTGGAGAAGTCTGGTCTGCAGACGTCTAAGAAGTGGGGTCTCATCCGACCCACAGACACCTTAGCGATGTCCGTGAACGACTGGCTGACGGCACAGCCGAAGAGAAAGACACCGATCTGCAAGACGATGGACAGAAGTGGTCAGTGAATGCATAACCTTACAAAATCTAAACATTACAGGCGTGCTGTTAGGAATACAAACTTAATTATAGCAGAAAACTTTAAGGAATCTTATTTCTTCCATAGTGACTTTATTAGGATGGGTGCTGAGAACTTTATTAGATTCAGAAACATTCTTATTCCTAGATGACCTATTTATTTGCATGCAAACTATGCCTTAAGCTTATTTTAACATCCTGAACTCAGAAGATTATGATCTTTTTTAAAGGAACTATTAAGCTGAACAACATGAACACGCATTTTTGTTGTAATTTCATTTCCTTCAGCGCGGCAGCTCTTCCAACTTGCTCTTGCTGGTGGAAGAACGCCATCTCTGATATACTGCTGCTAAAATGCTGCTTGTAATAAAATGTCATTGAATGGTGTCGGAGCAAAACAGGAGCTGACCTGTTTGTAGAGCGCCGCCACGTAAGCGTTCCCAACAAATGACTTTGTTCCCACGTGGAGCTGGTGAACCCTGAAGCATTCTCCAATCACAATCTAAAAGAAACATTTTGTTCACAATAATAAGACATATACTTGCGAAGCTCATTGTACAACGAATTTACATGCAAGACACTATGATGCACTAAAACATGTTAATGTATTAGTATGTATCATGCAAAAAATCACTCATTTCCTGATGGGTGTGACATTTAGTAGAAGGTATGTAAAAGGTAGAGATAATAAGAGCTGCACACAGACAAACATATAGAGAAAGCATGGCCTGCCTTTCCATTAGGCAGTTTGAACAGATGAAGGTGAGAAATGAAAGGGCTTCTTATAATGGTATAATGTATACAAGATAACAAAAGTAAGTGGAAAAGAAAGACCCTACATCACTATGACTGGCAGGATATCTCAGACTGGCTAAAATTACTGATTTACAAAAAAAGGGTTTATTATAATTTATCTGTTGCACGGCTCAAGTCCTGGGGGCCTGACTGTGCCTTCTGTGGTATCCCAGCCAGGTGGTTTTAAGTAGACTAATAGTACTCATGTGGAGCCAAGGTCTAAAGGATGGAGGCATCATTTGAACCTGGTGGAACCTAACTTAAGGTGTCGCTAATTTCTCTTTCCAGACAGAAACTATAATGTTTCTTATGCATCTATATGCCAGCGGATAACCTGCACTTTTCCGCCAAGAATGTACACCAACATCAGTTAACATGTGTTCAATCTCTCTTCATATCCAATCATGCTATTAAAGGGCTAGTTAGGATTTTTTAAGTGAGGTTTTGCTAAGATGTTACAAGCAGGTAATATTGTATCTGAAGAAGCTAAATCTGTAAGGGTTTATTTTAAAATTTTATCATGAAAGTTTAACAATTGTTTAAGTGAATGTTTTTCAATGGAAAATGTGTTTATACAATTCTGCTGTTGAGAAATTCTTTAAATGAAAAGTCCGCTCATATTCAGAATTCAAACTTCTTTACTTTAAATCTGAAATGATTCCATCCTGTTCAATAAATGATCAATGTTTTTAATTCAGAGTAATTTTCATGTGAATGTGCTTTACTGGAGGCATCCATGTTTGTCAAGGAACACTACTGCCACCTACTGGTTAGTGACGTCACGGTGCGGTATCGGCTGTTGATCAAGTCCCAGTGCTGTATCTGGTGTTTGTCACAACGCGCTGTTATCCAAGTCATCTTGAAAACATTCTTCTTCCAAATGTTGGCTACATATTACGGGTTTTTTCTCTGGCCAGAAGTTCGATGGCAAATCCTCCCTCTTCAAGTTGGCGATCCAACGACCAACCCGTCCGTGGAGGATCAGGAATCAGAAAGGTGGAATAACTCTTTTTTTCCACTTTTACCCGATGTATTCCAGCATCCAGCTGCCATGCACGTGGGCATTGTCAGTTTCACTATAGCTCTGGTGAATTTCAATGGTGAAGTCCTCTGGAAATCTTCAATAATTGTTGTTGATTGCAGATGTGTCTAGTAGTTCCCATTGATTTAGCTTGGAAAGGCTAAATCAATGGCCGCTCCAAGGTTTTTTTTTTTTTTACTGATTAATGCTAAATTCATTAAATCACTGTGAACATATTAGTTTTAGGTATAAATAATGATCCATTGATTATTTTTTTGGTGATTTTTCTTTTAAAGATCAAGACTCTGAACGCTTATCTGATCGCTGTGGTCGTGTTTTCCATTCGTAAGCCTTTGATCTCCGTATACATGCCTTTCCTGGCTATCCTGTGAATGGCTACCACATTAACAGCCAGAAGAAACAAACTGGACGATGCTTATGTGTTTCTTTTTGTTTCTCTGATTAGAGTGGAGGATTGAAGCTGCAGGAGGCCAATATAGGCCACAGAGGTGTGTTTAGATTCCCAGCATTTCCACCTCAGCCTTTCCTCCTTGTCTCGCTGTCTCTGACTATGTTGGAGCAGACGTAACCCGCTGTGCAAGCCAAAGTGGAATCTGCTCTAAAACCAAGTATATTTGAGCAAATGCGTGTATCTATGTGTGTGTGCTCAGACTTGTTAGAAGAAACGGTGTTGGCATGGCAGTAGACGCCGCAAATGGAAGACAGCTGTGTCAGACACGCCAGCGTTGCCCACAAGTGAACATGCGAGGGGGACTACCTAGCCCACCGCTATTCTCCTGCTTTCAATAAGCAGAAGAGCTGAGCTGGTATAATGTATATGAATGTGTGTGTGTGTGCCTACTGAGGTGATTGTAACGAGGCGGCAGCAAGGCGACGGCTCAGTCTGGGAACCCCTATGTTTAAGGACTGTAAAGATCACCTACCCTAACCATGAGGCTCTAATGGATTAGAACATATATCCAGTCCGCCTGACTGCTTCTCTCTTTGCTTACTACTGCTATTCCCTCTTTTATTTTTAAACAGAAATGCTGGAATGTGAATAAGAACTTCACGCTGTGAGACACCTCAGGCTATCAGTGAGGCCCCAACGTCATGGGGGAGAGCAACAGTACAGACCCGTGGTGCGGCATGGCGCACCTCTGATATTCCATATCTGGATTTTGATTGGAGCATTTGTTTCATCATAGTTCTGGCTGTATTGATGATAAACTTTTGAAGTCTCGTGTTTTTCCTCTGTTTTTTATTATATTTTCTTTCAGAAATGCATTTTTATGGAAGTGGTTGCGCTGAATATTTGATTTTGGGAGTATAGAGAAGGATGGAATAAATATGCAATGCAGTTTTATAAACATTTAAGCTACTTGAAGCTGGTCTGTCGCTTTAAATCCCAATTATGTTGCAGTTTGTAGTTAAACGTTTATTGGGTGTTCTGCACTGTTTATGGGTACCTTTCCTTTTCTTTTCTATGTGATGAATAACGAATGTGTTTTATGACATGTCCTCGAGAAGCATCTAAGAGTCTGAGAAGAAGGAAGCAGCAATCAAAGGGAGATGTTATGGGGTCGACTTACAGAGACGGTGCCAATAAGAATGCCAACACCACAAAGCACGGCATCACTAATGGTCTCTCCCTCTTTTCGGGGGAAGCGGATGGACTCGTCCGAACAGTAAAACCCGCGCTGGTACGGCTTTATGGTGCTAGTCTCAATGATCAGGAAAGGCAGGCTAGCTACAAAAAAAGACACAAAGAAAGAGAGAGACAGAGAGAGAGAAGACAGGAAGAGGGGAGAGAAGAAAGAAAGAAGGGCATAAACGCACCAGGTCAGTGACACGGACATAAACAGGAGAGAACAGGAGCAGCACAGGGAGCATGCTGGCACCAGGGGGATTATTCAACAGAAAAAAGGTTTAGGCTTGAGGAAGTCACAAGTTGACCCCCTCGGGTCAAAGAGGTGACATTTTTAAATCTTTTTTTTTTATATATATATAATCTGCATGGAGTCATCTTTGACACGGCCACTCCCTTTTAGGTACTTCCTAAACCTCGAGCCCTCCTTGTTTCTGGTTTGATTGTTTTCCACGTCCGGGCGCTGTTTGTGACAGCGGGAAGAAAAAAGCCTCGGGGGCCGGTGGGGGACTTACGGACACCACGGGCAGTGTCAGACCCACAGAAACCAGCACTGACGAGGGCACGGTGCTGCTCTTGTAGGGGTAGTTCAGGCTGGAGTCACTGCAGTAGAAACCCCTCTGGTATGGACGAACAGATGAGCGATGCAGAACCAGGCAGGGCAGCATAGCTACACACACACGCACATATGGATAAAGGCATGAACTCACACATACACACACGCTTCTGTGCAAGTCTGGCTGCGGACACACCTAACAGGGAATTACTGAGTGTCAAATCCACTTACCTGTAAGCTGCATAAATAAGGAATACTGTTAAAACACACATTAACACACAAAACCTTCACAGGTGTATTTGAGCTTCGCTTGAATAAGCTGTTGACTCAGCAAACTCTCTGCTGCTGCTACTGTTGACAAGCCATTAAGAGCTAAAGTTTATCCTTTAGGATAACTCCCCTCTGACTAAGCAAACACACTAAAACCCACAGCTCCAACTTTAAGGACAAAACAGGCACATCGATAAGGAAGCTACGTCAATGTAATGTGAGTTTGATGTAATAATGGTGTGAAAAGAGTTCGATTAGAGACGGATATAAAGGTGGTTAAGATGTCTAAAAGGCTTTAAGGTGAATTTTTTGCATCCTTTTTCATAGATCTCTTCTAATAGCTAATATGTTAATCAAAGCTTCTATGAATGTTTAACTAGAAGCTAGAAGTATCTGCATACTTTACTTAAAGGTCTAAAATCTCTCAGTATGATCTCAATTTGTGCAAGAAGATTCTGGAGGGTTTATTACATGTGTGAATACTATTAAATGTTTTACTGCTAATTAAAAAAACATTTTTTTGCTTCCCTGCTAAAGCGATGTCTTTATATTACAAAGAATTACAGGCAGAATCTTATCTTCAGCTACCACAGTTAACATGTCACATTAAATAATACTAGGTGTTACTTTATTGTATCTCTGATACTTTATCTGTTGGTTGTGCTATTCTTTTACATCTCTTTGCAGGTGATGAAGCAGAATGAAGATGTTTGATTGTTATCTCTCTCTTAACTCCCTTTTTTCTGCCTGTAAAAGAAGAATTATAGGCGGAAAATATATTTGATAGGGATGCACGATATTGGGATTTTGGCCGATATCCGATATGCCGATATTTTAAAACAAAGGTAGCCGATAACCGATATCGATACCGATGTTAAAGCTGGACAAAAATAAGTAGTCATTGAAAATAGCAGTTTTGTTATCCATTTCTGACACTTTGAAAAATAATATACTCAAATATATTTTCATATGCTGATATCAAATTGATTTTTAAAAACGCGGTATCGATCTATTTCACTTTCAAAATCTGGTGAAATTTCATCGTTCTGTTACAAACTCTCGTGATATTTTGCAAATTCTTGTGAGATTTTGTTAGTAAAATAGATCGATACCGCGTCAATATATCAACATATAAAAATATGGCAACATTTGGTGAATTTTCGGGGGATTTCGTAGCATAACGATGACATATAGCAATATTTCATTAGTAAAAGAGATTGATATGGTGTTTTTAAATGGCAATATATCAGCATAGGAAGATATTGGGATATTTTAATGTATCAATATTTTTTCCCTCGTCTTTAGAAGTTTTTAAGTCTGTAAAAAAGAAGTTTTTGAGGAAGAAGAAAAAGTAGTATTTTTTTTTTTTTTTGGACTTTAGAAACTCAGAAGCTGATCAAATATCAGGTTAAATATCAATGTCCGATATTCAGTTTTAAGGCCGATACCGATAGGGGGCGACTATATCGTGCATCCCTAATATTTATAACAGAAACTATAATGGTATTTTTTTCTTATGTTTAAAAGACAATTCAAGAAATAATAGGAACACCATCAGTTTAACTGGTGGAAAATAGTTACACATCTCCGATAAAAGCTAAACAAGCACAGCCGAACAAACTTTAGCCTGGATGTCGGAAGATTTCCGCGTGGGATCCTTAAAGTGCGAACACCAAGAAAAACAAAAGCAAGCCCACATGTCTCTGGTGCGTTTTCTACATGACGTTTTGGCGTCTCTGCATGTGACCGTGGTTGCTCATAAACACAGAGCACAGAAAGGCATCCCTAAGAGCCACATGCAGACACACCAGTACATACATTCAATGTCTGCAGGCAGGGAGAGCATGTCTGCCCACAGCTATGCGGTTAGCTCACATCACACACTGGGGCTTTCTCAACATTAGACTTAAAGTCAGAGATCGGATCACAAATGTTCCTAATTCGGCCAAGAACCACAGCTGCCGTCTAACCAGTGATGAGACTGGGAGATCATGTTACTGGTGTGTTCTACAGAAATCACAACATCCACCAGTAACCACTGACATGAACCTCTGCAGGACCTTACAGCACATTTCCTACCCATGCAGGTGAAACATGCACTCTCAGCTCTCAGACACATCCTAATGCCGGAGCAGAGCAGGGAGATGTTGTGTCAGGTGTGTACCACATCAATGGGCGGACATTTAGGCTCCGTCTACGGTATGTTGGCTGAAGCCAGAAGGAAAACATAGGGACACCTGATGATACAGGCAGACCTAAACAAATGACATGGAGTCCTCAGGTGTAGCTGGGAAACAGAAGATGAAGCGGCCATTTTGAAAACAAGGGTTAGTTCTTTGATCTTTGGCTTCTCAAGTATATTCATCCAAATGACCGGGGGGGATTTACCTTTAGGCAATACTAGGCTCTTTACATCGTTTGTTTTGAAACAAACCATGCAAAGAGCAGTGTTGCCAACTTAGCGCTTTAGTCGCTATATTTAGCCACTTTTCAGACCCCTCTAGCACTTTGATTTCTAAAAAGCTCCTAGCGCCAAATCTAGAGACTTTTTTTCTGCTACTGGAGACTTTGGAGACAACATCTAAAAGCAGCGAACTCTGCTCTCCAGAGCGAGTAGATTGGTAACCCCGCCTCCTGCTCTCCTCTATCTTGTCTGCTGTCATGATTCATGCAGCTATTATTTCATCCAAATGAAAAATGGAGAACAGATAAGCAGATCATGGCTTGTCTACAGTGAAAAGAAGGACTGGGTTATTTACTTTGGCCTTTTTGGAAACACAGGAAGGAGCAATCAGCTAAGTGAGCTTAGTGCTTGGAAAAAATCTTTCATTCCTTTAGAGACAGCATGAAAAGTCAGCTGAGTACAAAACATAGAGAGGAAAACAAGAAGAAAAGGGACAAGAAGAGAGGGACACAACCTAGAACAGATAATGGATGTCTATTCTATTAACATTTCTCTATCTGGAGAATGGGGCTGTTCTATGCGATTTAGGGCCCCAAATTTCCTAAATCTGCCCCTGCAAATGACATTTCTCTTCCCATCCAGGAAGTGTTTTCATTTCAAAATGTCCAAATTAGCGTTGAGTTAGTAGCTTTATATACACTCTATAAAGCTTCAAACTCAACGTTGATTCGGACATTTTGAATTGAAAAATCTTCCTGGATGGGAAGAGAAATGTCTTTAAACTTGGAAACAAAGTCCAGTGGATTGTTTTTTAACTTTTTTGGAATGACTCTGACCTGGATGACTGGGAATCTTCAGCATTGGCTTGTGGATCTCTTTCCGATGCTAATGATTATGTTTTGGTATAATATTATTTCTGCCAATAGACAACCAAACCTAACAAGAGTGTCTGGACTGCAAAGCAGCTATGTTTCATTTTGTTGACACTAAGCCAGCTCAGCTGTTATCTGTTCCTTCCCATTATGCTTTCAGAACCATTTATACGAGACAGAAATGTCTGTTTTGATGCTAAATTGTAATTTAAAATGTCTCTGTCTTTAATGCTTTTCCCTGCAGCAGTTACCAAAGGGCAACTGGATTGGATGGTCGCTCAGCCAGACACCTGCATAAACAGTATGCAGCACAGGGCTTTAGTAAGCCTGCTGGTGGGCCCACACAGGGCAGGGCCAGGCTTTGGCGGTGTCTGTGAACCAAGCTGTCCACACACCAGGCAGGGTTAGCTTTAGGTGAGCAGAATTACAGGGCCAAGGCAGGGCAGGACAGTCAACAGGACCTAAGTCCCACTGATTCTAGAGCAGATATGGGCGTATCCTCCTGACATCTAACACCTCACGTTTGAAGATCTTGGGACAGAAAACAAAGAAAGAAGTTTTAGAAAGGACTTTGCTTTCTGTTATGGAAATCTTGACCGATTTTCCTCCTCTGGACCTTTGCCATCTTTTCCGTCTCTCGGCTACTTTTGGAGGGGGATTGAAATGCAAATAAGCAGAAGTGAATAAAGGTCAGGAACACTCAGACACAAACACATAGAAGCCAACCAAATAAAGGCTTCACCGATTGGAGAACACCATGGGAAACTCTGGCGAGTTGAGCAAATGAAAGAGTGAAGCGAGATGGAGCGGCCGACCATCTCCTCAATCTCTATTGATAATTAATGAAAGACTCTCTGTTTGCGCGCTAACCGGCCCTGAGATGCCAAGCTGTTTTGCTCTTCCGCCTGAGAACAGCCTGGCATGTGGGCATTCTCCTCATACCGCAGCGCCTTCATGAAGCTCCTCCTCTTGAATATTGGTAATTCTGGAAAATCTTTAG